CCGTAATAGTCCTTATTTTTAATGTCTATAGCACCTGTCATGTCTCCTTTATTGGTGATTCCATTTTTCACTTGATTGGTTTGACAAAAGTCTCAATTTTATTATCTTTAAAAAAAAATTTTTTGGTTTTATTGACTTTATCATTTATTCATTTTCTATTTCATTAACTTATTTTATTTCCATTCATTTCATTGTCAATGTTTTCTTTTACCTATGAGTTATTTTGAAATATTGCCTACTTTCTAAACTTATTTGATTTTTCTAATAATTTTTACTGTACTACACTATAACCAGGGAATGGAATAAATATGCTACCAGAACTATGAAACTTGGAATTGCTTCATAATTTAGTACCTAGTTAATTTTCACAAATCTTACATGTATGCTTGAGATACATACTCTCATTTGCTTGGGTACAATATACCATACACATCCACTCAATAAAACTTTTTGCTTAAATCTTCTACATCTTTACTGATTTTTAAGAAATCTGTTTGATCTATCAAAGAAATGTTAAAATCTCTCACACGATGATGGATATGCCCATTTCTCTTGTAGTTCTATTTTTTTCTTTATATATTTTGAGGCCTCATTAATAGGTGCATATTACAAATATAGAAATGTTATATTTACTGGTGAATTGAAGTTATATTTACTGGTGAATTGAATCTCTCACCATTATGTAGTGAACCTTATTTTCTCCAATAATATCTCTGCCTTAATATCTTTCCCTTTCTTTTTATCAACCAGCTTTCTTTCTGTACTTATGTGGTATATTCATTTTCCATCTTTTTACTTTCAATTTTTCTGTGTCTACATTTTAGATGTGTCACTTTATCTATGACAAAGTTTTTGTATGACTTAAAGTTCTCCCTTTAAACTATTCTTACATCTTTCTCTGTAGCTGAAATACTACAGAGGGTCTAGCCATTTGGGGACTTGATTTATAGGGGTATCATCTATGAGACTCCCCACCTTGGATGCGCCTTGTGCCTGGTATCCTGAGGTCCTTTGGGTCATAAAAACAGACACTCAAATTCAGTAGGTTCAGCAAATTCCCTCAAGGGGAAAGGTGGCCATCAAGTTCAGCTTACCTTTCTGAAGTTTTGCCTAAAGTTTTTTACCTGCATTCTTTACTTTCTTGATAGCTTCTGAATGAATGCCTTTAAGAAGCTTAAAAAATATATATCTAGCTTATTTAATTGTTTTCAGCAGAAGGGTCAGTCCAAGTACCTTGCGACCCATACTGACTTATTCATTCTCCACTGGCTTCATATTATCTTCCCATTCCCTAAATGAAGGGACTGTATCAAGGCTTACTCTTCAGCCTGATATTTATGTTGCTTTATAACATCTCCTTTGGAGACCTCATCACTCTCAGTATAGTCATTAGCATTTATTACAGTGATAATTTACATCAGAAGCTCTCAGCGAATATATGAATACATAAATCTTAATGGTGATGGGGCAAGATGGGGGAGTGGTTTGGGCAAAGCCCTACAAATGATAACATGCATACATAAAAATAAACTTGTGGCCTACTCCATCTCAGTTGAGATGCACTGGGCTAATGACTCCAACTGCTTACGGGCATCCAAAATGAAAACATACCTCTAGGGCTGACCTTTTTTTCTGAGATTAAGACCTACAACTTCAATTGCTGTATGAATATTTCTCCCTGAATTCCTATCACCAACACAAACTCAATATGTCCAAATCAAATGTCATCTTCCCATAAACTTGCCCTATCTACCAATTTCCAAACCTCTATAAAAGATACTATGAGACTTTGAGAAATCCAGACAAATCTTTGATTCATTTGTAAGATGTCCTTTTAGTTTTTCCAAATCATCATGAAGTCCTTCATGCCTTCATTCTTCTTAGTCTATTTCTCCCATTCCATTCCCTTAGTTACCCCCTTATCTAGGTCTTTGCCAGGACTCTTGCAGTTTATAACCAACAGATCTTCCTCCTACTCTCTCCTGACTCCAATTCTTCCTATATACTACTGTAAGGTGAATCATCCTTAAAAACATTGCTTTACGGGGCCGGCCCGGTGGCGCACTGCGCTAGTGCGCCGCTTGAGAAGCGCGGCAGCGCTCCCGCCGAGGGTTCGGATCCCACATACAGACCGGTTCCCGCTCACTGGCTGAGCGAGGCATGGGGGCAACGCCGAGGGTTGCGATCCCGTTGCCGTTCCCAGTCCAGTACGGGGGCGACACTGAGGGTTGTGATCCGTTGCCGGACACGGAAAAAGACAAAAAAAAACATTGCTTTACATATCACCCACCTACTCAAATATATTTAATGGTTTACTACTGCCTATACAGAAGTCTTCAACTGGTCAAAATCATATTTCAATAGTTATATTGAGTATTAGTATCGTATGATTCAAAATCACACTTGAGGGACACAGGGAGAAAAAAATGAAGGATAAAAGAGAAGTATACCCCTTGGCCATGCAAATCCCACAACAATCTTTTCATCCTGAATGTTTTAAGAGCTGGTAAGGTACTGTGGAATGGGATAACACTAGAAGCAAAAACATGCCACATTCTCAGTTGATGATGGGCTTCTAAAATGCTGTGGCAGTTTCTAATGAGTCTTAGTCCACCCATCAAAAAATTAAAAGGACTGAGGAAGGAAAAAGTAGTTTCCTGACTTTATATTCACGATGCTTTATCATGTTTTCCTCACTCTTCCCTGCAGGTTCTACTAGTTATGTAAACCCTCCTCTCCAACCCCACTAGTCTACTTACTGTTTCTTTAACAGGGCTTGCTATGTGTATACCCACCACGATTCTGTTCATGTTCTTTCTACTTAAAATTTTCTTTGTCTATCCTAGAGGCTAAGCTCTTTCATGAAGCCATCCTCAACTGCCTCAATCACTGGTGATTTTTCTCTACAAGCCATAATTTCTGTCTATAATACTCATTAGGCAACTAGCATGTGCTACTATGGAGGTACTTCAAAAAAGTTCGTGGAAGAATAGAAGACAATATGAATCTTTCCATGAACTTTTTGAAGTACTCTTGTATTACCATGAACAAGTGTTTTCTCCCTACCATGAGCACTATGAAGATGGAAATAGTATCTAATACTTCATATACCTGATATTTAGAACAATACTATACACACAGTTTTCAATAAAGGCTTAATGATGATGGTTCATTTGTGTAGTATTTAATATCTATATTTGGCTTTCTATCTGTCTTCTACATATGTATTCCAGGAGTTCCTAGAAGCCAAAAAAAAAAAGAAAAATGACAAAATTCTCCTTGTTTAAAAGTCACACCTCTGGGCCAGCCTGTGGCTCACTTGGGAGAGTGTGGTGCTGATAACACCAAGGCCACAGGTTCGGATCCCATATAGGGATGGCCAGTTAGCTCACTTGGGAGAGCATGGTGCTGACAACACCAAGTCAAGGGTTAAGATCCCCTTACCAGTCATCTTTAAAAAAAAAAAAAAGTCACACCTCTGCTTTTAAAAATGCTGAAAACAATATAACTTATCAATATTTCCACCTCAGACTTAAATTGACTTTAATAATTCAGGTGAGAAAAAAAAGCTACACTCAGGTTGAAATGGACATACATAATCAAATTATATTTTTAAAAAATCTTACCCTGGTCAGACTTCCTAGAGTTATGAAAAAGGCTGATGATATAACCTAGACACTGAGTCAACTATTGTATAATCAAATTCAGGGAATAAATTGTGGCTCACTCGGGAGAGTGTGGTGCTGATAACACCAAGGCCACGGGTTCGGATCCTATATAGGGATGGCCGGTTAGCTCACTGACTGAGCGTGGTTCTGACAACACCAAGTCAAGGGTTAAGATCCCCTTACCAGTCATCTTTAAAAAAAAAAAAAAGTCACACCTCTGCTTTTAAAAATGCTGAAAACAATATAACTTATCAATATTTCCACCTCAGACTTAAATTGACTTTAATAATTCAGGTGAGAAAAAAAAGCTACACTCAGGTTGAAATGGACATACATAATCAAATTATATTTTTAAAAAATCTTACCCTGGTCAGACTTCCTAGAGTTATGAAAAAGGCTGATGATATAACCTAGACACTGAGTCAACTATTGTATAATCAAATTCAGGGAATAAATTCATAATTGTCCAAAATGCTTTTCAGATATTTGTTTACTACAGTTTTTATGAAACTGTGGTTTTCATTTTTTACTGATTTAGGAGCTATTCTTAACACTGTAAAGCATCCATTTATTTATATCTCTATATCCCACACTAGCCTGTAGCATTTTGAAAGAACAAGATTCACCTTTTTTCACTGGTACTAAGCATTTGCTAGGAACTCAATAAATGTTTACTGAATGAATCAGAGTCGCAACCCACAGGACAAATATAAAAATCTATGAATATGAATATCTTGCCCTCGAACAGCAAGAAAAATTTGAAAGACTACTTTAAGGCTTCTACTTTTTGAGGACAAACAGAAATCAAGCAAATATATCATCTAAATAGAAAAATGACCACAGGAGGCAGCAGGTAAAAAAATAAAATCTATAATTTATATTTATAACCAATAAATTTTTTTGAAAGCAATTCCTTAATTAGATTTTAGTGTAGTTTGTAAGTCTAAGACTGACAGTTTGTCAATATTATCTACCATTTCAAATGTCATAAAAGCAAAACATATATCATTATAAAGATAAATATATTTTAGTCTGTTGAAAAATTATACCTAGACTCCTTCCTTTATAAGGTGAAAAAAACTATTCTAATGAGGATGCTCACAACAATATACTGTATTTTTTTCATCATTTTTCTTCTAAGTTGTTTATATAGTAAAAAATAACTTGAAAAACTAATACTTTTTTATAATAAAATTAAATATGTACACCAACACATTTTCATATGGGTCTTACAGAACTTCTCATTAATTTATAGTTCTATTACATTCTTAGTTTTGAGGAAATATATTTGCTAGCCACAAGAAAAACGATCTTCAAACATTTCAATCGTACCTGTTTCTGAGCTTCTACTTTTTGCTTTCTGGTTGGATCAATTGCATCTACCATCCATTTGATAGTAAAGTATGTTACTGCACCAAATATTGTCAAACGGAAAATTAAACCAACAACTTCATTCCGACTCAAAGGACGAGAAAAGGCTTCAGCATGTACCATCTTGATTGTTAACCTTAAAAAACAAACAGAAGTGTCACTAGGTAATAACTACATTCATTTAAATTGGGAGACTAATAAAGTAGCTCAAACTAAGCAAGAAAAACTAACTTCTAGTCAAATTCAAACGTTATCTATATTTTTAAAAAGCTTCATTTTAAGGAGAAATGGAGTTTTAAAGGTTAAGTAAACAAATACATTAAAAAGAGAGAGAAAGAGAGAAACAGAGAGAGAAGGAGGGAGGGAGGGAGGGAGGGAGGGAGAGAGGAAGGAACAAGGGAGGGAAAGGAGGAGGGAGGGTAAAAAGGAGGAACGGACACAATAATATGCTGAACTTAACAGAAAGAGAGAACAGAATTGTGGTTATTGGCGAGGGAAGAGGGAGATAGGGAGAAACTGGTTAATGCACACAAAGAATGAGTACATTTCATCATGACAAACATGCCAACTATCCTGATTTGATCATCACATATTGTACACAAATACTAATAGTCAACTCTATACCCCACAAATACGTATAATCGATTATGTTTCACTAATGATTAAAAAAAAGCTCCTCTTGGAAACTGAAGTAGATTAGAAACTGAGGTTTATTTAATAATTCTATTTGAAAAATACAGTAAACATCTAAAGGTATGTACTCTTTCAAACAGCTTTAAAATAACTATTTCACAGAGTGTAGAAAAATAACAACTATAACACTAATCCAACTGAAGAAAAGAAACCTAACAATATTTTACTAATGTAAAAAATTTCTTCTATTAAGTGTTATGCATTCCAGGTAATTTTTGAGGGTGAAATTCAAACTTTGAACTCACTCACCTTTTCCTCGTACCTACTTTTAAAGGTTTTCAAGCCAGCGTAAATTTAAACATGCCATTTCCTCAATTAATAAGTGACTTTAAATTTTTTGAACCATCCTATAGCTCCTATCTAAATATGAAGCAAAAGAACTTCCAAAAATTTTGAATCAAGAAAACTACCACAACACAGCACTCACCCAAGACAGAGGAAAAAAAGGAGGCAATGTGCCTACTTTTATATATTTACCTCAGCTGCTACATCAGTCACAGCTAGGCTTAGAGGAGGCATCACTCCCCTATCAAAGACAACAACCAACCAAAATAAGTAAGCCTGCTGGGGATGATATGACTATCATATCTTGAGAGACAGGACCTCAGCTTCAAATAATGCCATTGAACTCTCAGGACAGTACTGCTATGGGATATGTAAGAAAAAGAGAATATATTTTTTGCATTCATGAAAAGGAATAAATCAGAATTTGTAAAGACAGCCCAGTGACAGGTGAAAAAAATAGGTACTGCATAGATTAATATCCATGGTCCTTCCAACTCTAAAATTATTTATCTTCTTACTACTACTAAACTAATGATCCTCTTCACCTTCTTCCCTCTGGAATAGCTCCAGCAATTTTTTAATTTAACTCATGCACTTTTCTGCCATTCGAAAGTATATAATACTCTTCTTCCTAATCAAAAGACCTCAAAGCTTTCCCTTTACAGGATTCTCAAGCATCCAAGACTATTCTAATCTAGTCCCAAAGAATCACTTTTAAACATTTATCTCTCACAACTTCTCAACAGAAACTCTCAATAGCTGGAGTCACTGGCATCTAAAAATGTTATATGTATTTTCCCTTCAGCATATTTGCCTGGTACTCTGGATAGGCCACTTCCCCTTATTCATCTAGAATTAGTCAAATTCTGTCCAAACTTCAAAAACCAACTTTATCTGCTCCATGAAGCTTTTTCAGATCACATTAATCCTCTATATATTCATTTGGCCCTATTACACTATCTTAAGAAATGCCTTGTTTTTAACCATTACTGAACATATGAGATATCTATTCTACTCAACTGGAGTTTAAATCCTTATAAATAGGATTTATAGCTTAAGCATCTTTGTAATTGTCACACAAAAAACAAGGGCTATTCAAAAATGATCTGTTCAATAAACTGCAACTGACGAAAAACTCCCATTCAATCATTCCAACAGAAAGTCATTACCAGACTGCTGAAGGATTTCCAAAAGTCAAGGTTACACACTTTCCATTACTAGGAGTCATACACTTCACAATAATTACATTAATTTAAACTTAACTAAATAATTGAAAGCCTTCATTTTGGAGAAACTTTGGCCTAGGGATGTTAAGTGATTTAATTCATTCAATAGGCACTTATTGAACATCTATATATAACACCTACTACATACTGGATATACAATAATTGCTAAGATACAAACAATTTACTCGAGGAACATACTGTCCAGTTATTATACGAGTTAAGGAAAAAAAAAAAAAGGAATTAGAAGGGAGAAGCCACCTAACTATCTCTCTCCTTATATAACAAAGTGTGCTTTCTTCCATTAGCATGGATTCCAAAAAATGGGTACACAATATTCCACTTCTCATAAGTGTAAAACTGCCTTTTCTAGTCTTTATTCCAACACAGTAAAGTTGAAAATGCAGCTGAAATGTGTGGCATCATTATGCAGGGTATTATTCATAGACGAAAATAACCCAATAGTCAAGATAAGGATTTTATGAACTTAATCTGTGGAAGTGGTGACATTCCAACAGCGTTTTCATTTCTGTAAAGTTTGAGCTGGTAGTGATAAAACTGCCATCTACTGGATGTTCACTGAACTAAATGAACAAATTAGGGCTATTATTAGCACATCCCAGTAATCAAGATAGTAACATTTTTTTAATCCTGTAAACAATGTCAAGACACAAAACCCCTGTTTATATATTTTGCTATTCTAAAATTATTAACTGTAATACGGTACAAACTTAGGTTTACTAAGGCCACTTTTAAAACAGTAGTCCATCTTTTTAAATGACTTCAAAATCCTGAAATGAAACAAACTTACTATATATAATTTATATATAAACGCATTTACCATTCATATGTCACTGATCCGCCTACAATTTGTAGAACCATTAAAGTAACAATACCATTACTGCAGAATATACAATAAAAGCTGTATATGCATACAACAGGAGGGAATATACTTCAATCTTAAATACTAGGTTCAAAAAATGAATATACAAATACATATACAGAAGTAGCATTATGTACAACTAAGAAATATCGCAAAACACTGAAATGCAGAGTTATTTATTCGGCAAACATAATACCAGATGGTTTCATTTTCAGTTCTCCATTGCAGTGTGGAAAACTTTGAAATCGTTCTACCTCGTCTGTGAGCAATTTTATTGAAAGGTTAAGGGCCGAGAGTATAGCGTTCACAGGGCAGTATTTCTCTAACTCAATGCAGTGTTTTACAAAGGGCTTCTCAAACTCAAAGTTCCAGTTTCGCGGACAGCAAGGCCCTACGAATACAGCCTATAACAATGAAGGCCTGCCAACCTTCACATAGAGGACAGGTTATTATTAACATCACCATCCTCTGAGAAAGCATTTCCAGCCCTGAAGAACCACCTCCGCTTTTGCACAAGGTGGTAGCAGCGCCTGTGCGACAATCAGACCAAGTTCATTGCAGCTGCCTTTACCTAGGAGCCTGGTTCTGAGGTCGCCCGGGACAACTCCAAGCCCCAGCACAGTGACCACGCTGCCTATAGAATTTCCTTCGGGAATGGCACAAGCCTCGGGGACAGCGCCAACGAAGACCTAAGGGCCTAGGCCGGGCCGGAAGCCAAAGCGAGGCCCAGAACGCCCTTGGAGGTTAATCCGCTCGATACTAAGGGCTGCGGAGCGCTGGGGGGCGGCACTGAGGTGGGGCATGGAAGGAGGGCGAGGTAACTTTATCGGCTGGGCTTCCCAGATTCGAGCCGGTCCCTCATGGAGCTCAGCAGGATCCATCCCACGAGGCCCCGCGGGAAGCCGCTACTCACCCCCGGGCAGAAACCGCGGCAGCCGGAGCCTTCAGCTCGTCTCGCACAGGAAGGAAATGCGGCCTGGCAGCGAACGCTTCCGGCCGGAGCCGTGGCCCGCCCCCTCGCACCGAGCATGCGCGGCCGTAGCCGCGGGCTGGGAGGGGGCGTCCGGCGTCTTAGAAATGGCCGATGGACTGGCGGGAGCGAGTTAGTGCGCCAGATACTTAACCTGCTGGGCTGAGGCTTTCCGCGAAGCCCCTGTGTCTAAAGAGCACTCGTCCAGGCTTAGAGACCGAATTGAGAAAGGCGCTTATCGTACAAAGTCCTTGCACTGCTCGCAGGCTCCTGGCGCAACCCTGACAAATCGGGGAGCCTTCTTGAGAATGGTAAAGAGTTGCTCTGCTTTCCTAGCAAAGAAATTCTTCCCTGAGTCCAGCTTGATGCTGACTCTGCTCCACCACCCCGTGGAAACCCTCACGCTGTGGCTGTCTGTACTTCAGCCAAAGCGCAGACGCACATGGCCACCCCGCACCCCTCACCATCTGCCCTTCAGTTTCTAGGGTGAGCTCATCCTCCTCTCCTGTTCTCTGTGCTGACAAACACCTGGGGGTGGCGCCTGAAAATCCTCCGGCGGAACGACTTAGCAGCCCACGCAGGCAGGCCCGGTAGTTGGGACGGAATAGGACATCTGGTAACAGGTTTTGCATTTTGGCAACTTCCTTTTTTTCTTTTACCCCTTCGCCTTTCCAGAATGAGCGATGCGACACAAGAGGTCCCAAGGGAGCAAACCTGAAAGGCAACGCCTTCTGAATACACAGACTGCCGGGGGCGAGATGACATTAGACACGGTCCCCAGATATAAGAAGTATCACTTCCTTCAGCTCGGAGTGGTGAGGCTGAAGTAGTGAGACAGTTCTCCTCCCTATCTTCCTAGGGAAGGCAGTTCGTGCGCCTCTGCTTTAGGCATCATCCTTGCCCAAATCCCAAGGCTTTACAGGATAAAGATGGGATGAAAGGGATATGTGAATGTTTAAAAACTGTGATTAAGTTCATTGACTATCAGAATGGAATTTAATACTACAAGGGGTTCATGTTTTACATCCATGTCTTTAAGGCTTCGTGTGTGGGTGTCTACATTCATAATGTTATTGTATAAAACTGAAGCTAGGTTTGGGAGTACTAGACTGATTATTTAGGGAGGGAGATAGACCTTTGAAAAGAACAGGAAGATTGAGACCAGGACAATGTTCACAAAAAAAACCCAGACGCCATCAGTTCAGCAGTCTTGGAAGAGACTCTCCACTGAGTCCCTGGGATGATCCCGAACTGAGTCATTGTTTGGGAGGTTCATGGGGACGTGGTTTGACAAGGTTACTGAAGGAAAGAACTTTAGGTTGTGTGGCCTTCTAGAGTAATTATACCTACTAGTAAGGAAAACGAGTTGAGAAATTCAAGATGGTAATGGATTTCCATCATTTACTGAGTGGATTTGGTTTAAGAACCTCATCTGCTTTATCTGAGAACCAGGGTGACCAATCTACCCTAATGCTTGAAACTAAGGGGTTTTCTGGGATGTAGGACTTTCAATGCTAAAACAGAGAAAGTCTCTGGCAAATCATAAGAATTGGTCACCTTTTAAGCATATCCTAAACAAATCCTACAATGAGGTGAGTTCCCATTATTGTTACATCTAGTCTCAAGTTATCTGCCTAATACCTAGGGTATGATTGCACAGGAAAGGAAACTGTTGGATGGAATAATCAAGGCTGACCATGAAGAGTCTATATGCTCCAAACTAAATTCTGCTGCTCATTCCCTTCCCAGTGGTTACCTTTTGGACCTAATGATTTCATTTAGCAAATCTTTTTAGGAAACCTCCTAAGTCTGGGCCCTAAGACATCAAATTACTGCTTTCCCAAATACTAAGCACATTCACTTTTCAGCAATCACTAAATCAACTAGGTTCTTCCAGAATAGAGCCGAGTGAACATATGCTTTTCATCCCAGGATAGCTTTATATAATTCCTGGCAACACAAAATACCATATTTGGCCCACAGTAGGAGCTGAGTAGATAATTCATTATGTGTAATATTCAGGAAATTATAACAACAGATTTTTTTATAGACTTTCTGGGCCTTCCCTCTTTGTTAGAATCAAGATATTAAAAATAATTTTTATATTTATTATAGAAAGGTTTTGTCTTTGTTTTGTGCTTTTTTGTACCAATACCTCTTAAAACAGTTATGGCAGTTTCTCTATAGTACTGAATTTTCTGTTTTTGTTATTGGATGGGGGTGTGGTTAGTATTCTCTGCAGCCAAGGTCAATGCACTGAACACCTTGTGGGAGAGAGGGATTCTTTAGATTAGATGTTTTCAAATTTTATTGTGTATAAATTCACTTGGACAACTTGGCAAAATGCAAATTCCTGGCTCCCAACCTTAAAGGCTGCCATTCAACTGGTCTAGGTTTTGACCCTGGAATCTGCATTTTTAATAATCATCTGGGCTCTTTGCCATGTGAGAATACAATGAGATATCTGTCTGCAAGCCGGGAAGCAGACCCTCACCAGACCCAGAATCTGCCAGAACCCTGATCTTGGTATTCCCAGCCTCCAGAACTGTGAGAAATAAATTTTTGTGTTTAAGCCAATCAAACAATCAACAAACAAACATCTGAGATGGTATGGATATAGGTAGTTTTGGACCACACTTTAAGAAACTCTGCCCTAGTGAGTGAAGACTTCAGACTTATTTTTGCAAAAATCTCTACCACTCCCACCAAAAAGGCCTATTTAGTCATCTGAACCATTAAGCCCGCTGGGATACATCAAGAAATCAAGGCAAGGAAGCCTCATGATGAGATTTGGAATTTTTTTCCTTTGGAAGGAATTCTTTTTTTTTTTTTCCTTTGGAAGGAAAAACAAATCTGAAATCTTTAGATAAGAAAACATGCTAAACCTGACTCCATTCATTGCTCATTAGAAATAATTCACTTGACAGGGATTTAGAAAGAGCAGAATTCAACAAACAGATAAAATTATATTGCAGTAATTATTCCAGTTTAATAATCACTTGGTATCCTTGGTTCTTTTCAAAATATTTCATTAGAAAAGAATTAATATTCTTTCTAATTATTCTAATATTCTTTCTAATGTTAATTATTTACCTGGTCATTTTTGACAAGGTAAATCAAATAGAACGGGTAGAGAAAGAAAAGTAAAGCAAGTATATGAAGCTGTACCTGAAGCCATGAGGTCACTGAGAAAGACCAAGATTGAGTGCTTGAAGCTCCAATAGAAAGAATAAGATGGAATCAAGGCAAAAATAATGGAAAATTAAAATTTTAACAGTTTGGAAGAAGTGGAAACATGAATTGGTAGCTCTATTCTATGAAAAGCAAAGAGAACTAAAAGAGAGAACAGCAAAGTTCGAAGAACATGTTGCAAATCTACTTTCCATGCTTTTATATTTTTAAACTTTACACATAATTTAAAATGAGGGTATACAAAAATGAGTTATATGTAATTTTCTCATGCTATCAGGGTAGCAGTAATCCACAAACAATTTTGCATTTCTGTATAACCCTTTGTCTCAAGCAGTACTGCCAATTGTACACTTTTTACAGCTTCTGCTATCAAAAAAAATTTTCTAGAGCTTAGATATTTACTTAATCTACTTTATTTTGTTGTTTAGCTTTAATACAGTACTGAAAATATACTGTTCAAATGATACTATCTGTGGAAAGCCAGGATTGATGGAAAATAGAATTGCTTCAGAAGATGTCTAAACTTACTATAGCCTTATGAGCAAAAGTTTTAAGGCATAGATGAAAGAATGATCTCCCTAGGATTAATTTGGGACCTTCATAAATGCCACTCCATATGATTTTTTAAAAGGAGGAGGAGGCCGGAAGGATTGGGTAGGAATAACAAAGGTATGAATTCATTAGCCAAAACAGAAGAAACAGTAGTTGAAATGTTAATTCTCAATTCTCGTAACAACAGATTGATAGGCAATGCATAAAACAAGACCAGATGCTGTGGTTTCCAGGAGGCACTTGGCTTCCCATCCTTTATAACCCAGAGCAATTTTTGCTCTAAGTAGGTCACTTGCTTGCTCTCATTTACCTGATTCTAGGAAAGTGCCCTTGAAAGTATTTGAGAAATAATATGTACTGGTGTTTAACATCTTAAAAGTTAAGATTTCATAGTCCCCCCACCCCCGTTTCTCTATTAGTCAGAGTAACTTATAACCTTGAAGCATATGTGAAAATAAAATGGACAAGAATTTGAGATCTTTTATTTCCTAAGCACAAATACACTAAAATCTGTGTCCATTCTGTTAGCTCCCATAATTCGCTGTGCTTAGCACTGGCATAGTACTCAGTTCACAAAATTATAGTTTGGGTCTGTATTCTCCTATCAGATGTGAACTTCTTGAGAAAAGAGGATGCCTAGGACTTAGTAGGGGTTTAACAAATGTTTTATTTAATTGATTTATTTTTTCAAATCTGTCATATCTAATATTGCTTTTCAGACCACATTTCTATAGATTTAGCCTGACCAGGGGAGAAAAAAGAGGAAGGAAAGATGTTTGCTCTGGCTAACGTCAGAATCCTGTTCCTGACGCCAATTGTAAAGCTAGGCGACCAGGCCAGTTGTCGGCTCTTTTACCTGCCGGCAATCCTGCACCAACTGGGCCGATTGTCCAGCTAGGGCTGGGTCTGGAGCTCACAGACCCCTCAAACCCGTTCACTGACTGGGTCACAGACCCCTCACATGCCAGTGGGTCACCAGACCCCTCACACGCAGGTCTATGAGCTAGGTAACCGGCAAACATGTCTTTGGAAGCCTTAGGTTGGAAAAGCATGGGCGCTCTGTGCAGGGACCACTCAAGGAGGTAAACTCCAGCCAAGGCGGCGGCAGCGCGCAGGCGCACTAACTCCGCCCACACAACCTATTCACAAAGAATGCTTGGCCCTGACCATGTTCCTATATTTTCCCAACAAAAGACAAACGTCGGAAGATAGGATGTGTGGAACAAACCATTTTACTGACCATAATTAATTATATTATTGCCCTGTCTGCTCCTGTTACGGGAAAATTCTAGGTCCTACTGGCTAGATCCAAGTTCTTGGTGTCTCGAACAAAGAACTGGATGAGACACACCAGAATTGAAAAGTAAAAGCAGTTTTATTTAGGAAAGAAAGAGAGAAGAGTACACTCCAGAGAAAATGGAGTGGGCTCGAGCAAGAGAGAAGAGTGCTCAAGAGTGCCGAAGGTTACATTGCTGGGGGTTTTAAGCCCTCTAAACTGGATTTGTGCCATTTGGTCATTGGATGAGTCCTGAATGTAATCTCTGTCATATTGGTTAAAGAGATTGATGCC